GGAGGGAGGGGGGAGGGAGGGGGGGAGGGAGGGAAAGAAGAGAGAGGAAGAAGAAAAGAGAGAAAGAAAGGGTGAAGACAGAAAAGAAAGGGAGGGAGGGAAGGAGAGGGAGGAAGGAGGGAAGGAGAGGGAGGAAAGAAGGAAGGGAGGGAAGGAGAAGTAAGCAACAGTGTTGGTGAGGATATAGAAAAACTAAAAACTTTGTGAACTGTGGTGGGATTATTAAATGATACAAGCATTTTGGGAAATAGAACATATGTTCCTCAAAGGATTAATAATAGAATTACTATATGACCCAGCAATCCTACTTCTGAGTAGATAGATACAGATATAATTATAGTCCTATTGATGAAAGTAGATCCTTAAAGAAATATTTGCAAACACTTGTTCATTGCTGCATTGTTCCCAATAGCCAAGAGGTAAAAGCAACTCAAATGTCCATTGGTAGGCAAATGGTCAGAGAAAATGTAATATATATGAATGGGCAAATATCGTTCAGCCTTAAGAAAGAAGAATGTCCTGTCACATACTACAATGTGAATAAAACTTGAGGACATTTTATTTTTAAAAAAAAGTAAATTTATAACAAAGAAAAATACTGCAAAATTCACCTTATATGAGATATCTAAAGTAATCAAATTCAAGTGGCACTGTGGCTCAAGTGGTAGAATGCTTGCCTTGACCTTAAGAGCTTAGAGATAGCACCCAGGCCCAGAGTTTAAGTCCCATGACCAAGGGGGTAAAAAACTAAGCTAAAATAATCAAATTTATAGGAAGCAAGATTAGAATAGTAATTATCAGGGGCAGGGAAGAGTTGCTCAATGGAGTCTAAAATTTGTAAGATGGAAAAATTCTAGAGATCTGTTATGTAACAAGGTGAATAGAGTTAACCGTGCACTTAAAATGGCTAATAAAGTGAATATTACGTTTTTATCATAAAAAAAATTGCCAGTCCTGGGGCTTGAACTTAAGGCTTATATACTGTCCCTTAGCCTTTTGCTCTAGGCTAGCACTCTACCAATTGAGCCACAGCTCCATTCATTTTTTTTTGGCGGCCTACAGTGTGGTTTAATCAGAGATAAGAGTCTCACAGACTTTCCTGTCCAGGCTGGCTTTCCACCATGATTCTCAGATCTCAGCCTCCTGAGTAGCTAGAATTACAGGTGTGTGCCAATGGTGCCCAGCTTTATCTCATTTTCTTTACATAACACAAACCAAACATCAGTTGGTTAAAAATGTTTTAGCATACATAGAGGTAAAATGAATTATATCAAGAATATAATTTTAGTACATTTTATTTTAGAAGAGATATAAAAGTTAAATAATACAATTTGCAGCCTTCTCAAATATATGTGGAGTCCCTTTTATATTTATTGAACTGAGGAAGTTCACGGCAATGAGCATAGAAGGTGTTCATAAGAAGTTGTATTTTCCTTTCTTTTTTTCCTCTACTCAATTTGTTCTCAACTACAAAATACATGAACTGAATCAGGACTATAAAAAAACACTGAGGTTTTCCCCTCTTTGGTCACACAGGTGACCACAGTGCTATGAACAATGAGAAAAAGTTTGGACAGAGCTTCAATGCCAGGCTTAGCTGGAACCAGATCACACAGGCCCAAGATGGCAGCTTTACCAAAGAATAATCAGATATGGTAACACTGAAGATCTTCAAGAATGATTAGCATGAGTCTGATCAAGGTTCATAGTACACATGTATGACCATGTCAAAATGGAGCCCTGAGATAAGTCATTGATACTAACAAGAATACAAACAAACGAACCCTTCAACCCGATTAAAATCTGCAAGCGTGAGGTACCATGGTGGAACACATTTGAACAATTAACATACAGTTTTAGCCAAGAGCACATTAGGAAGTTGAAACGTGTCTGGCCTAATGGAAGAAGCAGACAGATTGAGAAAGGGAAGGAGTGTGAACGTAGTCATAATAATTTAAGTACATGCATGAAAATGGAACAAGGGAAGTCAATGAGACTAGTTCAGCAAACAAGAGGAAGGAGGTAAAAGAGTGGAAAGAGTAACCAGAATCAGAGGTGTGAACTAGCTGCACCCAGCTCCATTGTGGTTTTGATTTATGTTTTCCTTTGTCTAAGGATATAGAACATCTTTTCATGTATTTATGTATTTTTATGTATTTATTGATGATTCATACTTTTTTGACAACTGTCCAATTCATTTTCATACTTGTTTACTGGGCTATCTGTTGTTTTAGTGTTTAGCTTTTTGAGTTTTTTTTTTATATTCCACATACGAATCCTCTGTTAGATAAGTAGCTGGCAAAGATTTTCTCCCATGGTTTTTGTTGCTTCTTTTAATTCGAAGAAACTTTTTTTAATGCCATCTTATTTGTCAATACTTGCTATTATTTCTTGAAGTATTAGAATTTTATTCAAAAAGTCGTTGTCTATGCCTGGATCTTGAAGCATTTTCCTAAAGTGGCTTCAGGTCTTACATTAAGATCTTTGAATTGATTTTTGTACAGGGTAAAAGATGGAGGGAGGCCCATTTTCAGTCTTCTATATATGAATATTTAGTTTTCATAGCACCATTTGTTAAAAAGCTATCTTTTCTCTAACACGTGTTTTTGACACCTTTATTAAAATCAGATGACCTAGGCTTTGTAAACACATTTCTCCCTGAGGAGATGGGGTCTTCTTTTCTATTCCATAGTCTACTGTCTTTTTTTGTGCCAGTACCATGCTGGTTTTGCTATTATGGCTTTGTAGCATATTTTAAAGTCAAGTATTATGATACTTCCTGCTTGTTCTTTTTTTACAAGATTGCTTTGCCTGTTTTGCTTCTTTGGTGCTTCCAAATGAATTTTAAGATTATCTTTTCTATTTCTGTAAAGAATACCACTGAAATTTTTCTAGTGATTGTGTTGAATCTGTAGGTCACATTCAGTATTATAACAATTTTCATAAGGTTAATCCTTGAACATAGATAGGACTTTCCATCTAGTGTCTTTAATTTCTTCATTCAGTGTTCTATTGTTTGCATTGTAGAAGTCTTACACTTCCTCGGTTAGATTTATTCCTACATCTTTTTGAAACTATTGTGACAAAAATAAGGGATAACAGAGAGACAGAGAACATTTTCTTTACTGACCAATGAAACATAAAAATAAGACATATCTTATAAGTTACTAGTTTATTCCATTAGGAAATACCTCATTCTACAATATCTCTCAACAGATTTTCCATCAATTTCATCACCTTTTGTATCCTCATTTATGTTTGGGTGACAATTCCCATAATAAGTGATTAGAAAAATGATTCCAAAAAGAAGAGTTAGAACTATAAAGACACTGGTAGGTATAAAGTAGTCTGAGTTAAAAATAGAGAGTGGATAAGTCCAGAACATAAACAATATCCCCAAAGTAGCCAGTACTCTTACACTATAATAACAAGACATTGGACATCTGGTATGCTGCCCCTTAATATTAAAAAATGTAAAAACTAAAATGAAACCAACAACCATCCTATATAAGAATTCCATACCTCTGGAATTACAAAATTGAGTTTGATTTTTAATTGCCCATATTAAACCTATCAGCCAAAGAAATGACAAAAGAAATAAGGTAAGGTTAACATTTACAAACAGTAGAAGTACAACACTCAGCATCCAAGATGCTAATGTCAGGAACTTGTAAAGGAGGTAGGTGGTCCTGGGGCAGGCTCCATTAAGAAGCTTCTTATCAGGCAAAGATTTTCTTAAAGCTATTTGAAAATCAACCGTTGCAACAGAAATAGCACAGCAAGAAATCGCGATGGCTGCAGCTACAAAACGAAACAAAAAAATTTAATGTATTATAGGAAGAGTAACAGCAATATAATTAATCTATGCCATGCATACTTTATCCAGATATACACACACTCACAAAAATGTATCAGGCACTTTAAACATCTCATATAATTCTTAGATGTAGATATTACTAACCCCAAATTACATATGAAGAAACCAAAGCTTGAAAGATTACTAAACAGAAAGGTAGAAAATTGCAAAAGTGAATTTAAACTAAATCTATTGATTCCAAAGTTGGTATGCCATCTCACTACAGTAGCCTGATGTTAAGTAAATTCACTGGATAAATTTTATTGGAAAAATACTTTGCTTACTAAGAGACTACAGTTATAATTTCAGGTTTCTAGACTTTTGGTTTCACCGTGTGTGTTTGTGTGTGTGTGTGTGTGTGTGTGTGTACATATATATGTTGAATTTTCCTCATTTGATATTTGATGCAGTTTATTTGAAATAGAATTTAAGGTTAAAAATGTTTTCCACTGAAATTCTGAAGTCACTACTATTACATTCTAGTTTTAACTATTACAGTAAGAATTTCAATGCCATTTTTCCCTATCTTTAGTCAGTGATCATTTTTTTCTCTCAAATTTTCTAGAGGTTTATCTTTAGCTTTGCTTTTCTGAAATGATATCAAGATGTGCTTGGTATAAATTTATTTACTCTGAAATGTCTTATTGCTGTATTGTAGTGACTTTGGGAATTTTAGATATTTAACTAAGGAAAATTAAATTGAGTTTATACTTAGCTTAGGTTTAGGGGACATGTTTAAGTTTGTTTCAATAATTAAGGCTAGTATAAGGAGAAAAAAGAGTGGGATAAAAGAATGAATATCTGTGTAGCATATTTCAAGTATAAATGAGAACAACATGGAAAAGCTCAGCATAAGCCAATGGTCAATAAGGCAGTGGGAAGGAAAAGAAATTGACTGTGGGTGGGTGGGGACTAGCAAGATGGTGTGTGCTAGCACCATAAAGAAGGCTGAACACTGTCAAAATATATTACTTGCAAGTATGAAAATGGATCAAGGAGACCTGTTGAGGATACTATTTTTAGGGGGAGGGGCTTGAGGAGTGTGATAGAAGAAATGAAATTGATTGACATACAATGTAAACATGTATAACTGATATAAGATATTTAAAAAGAAAAGAAAAGAAAAAGACTTGCCAGGCACTGATGGCTCAAGCTTATCATCCTAGCTACTCAGGAAGCTGAGATCTGTGGATCATGATACAAAGCCAGCTCAGGCAAGAAAGTCCATGAAACTCTTCTCTCCAATTTAATAACCAAAAAGTGGACATAGAGCTGTGGCTCAAAGTGATAGAGTGCTGGCCTTGAGAGGAAAAAAAAAATACAGCTCAGGGACAGTGCCCAGTCCCTGAGTTCAAGCCCCACCACCACAAAGAAAAAAAAGAAAGAAAGAAAGATAAAGATTCATAAGTGGCATAGTTAGGATTCTCAGGCAGTTTTTCTGATCTAACATCTCACTATATAGCCATCCTCCCATGTCCATGTTTCCTGTCTGTGGATTCAAATAATTACAGATTGAAAATATTCACAAAAGAAATTCAACCAGCATGGTGATGCACGCATGTAATTTCAGAACTTGGAGACTAAGAGGGAAAAAAAATCTCAAATTTGAGCCTAGTTTTGGTCAGACCCAAGAAGGAAGGAAGGAAGGGAGGGAGGGAGGGAGGGAGGGAGGGGAGAGAGAGTCAGAAGGAGGGAGGGAGGGAGGAGATCTCTACACTGAGCATAGGCTTTTCTTGTCATTGTTTCTTAACAATACAGTATACAACTAGTTACCCAGTATTGTGATCATATTATCTATTATAAGTAATCTAAACACGAGTTAAAGTCTACAGAAGGATATGCACAAATTACATACAAACACTATCATTTTTTATATAAGAGACAAACATCAGTGGGTTTGGGTATTCGTGGAGGTTCTTGAATAAATCCTACATAGATACTGAATGATAACTACATTGTCTTTCATATTATTAGGGAGTGATGACCCCATCCATCCTTAAACATAACACTTATACTTGCATCTTTATACTTTCCATCTTGTCATTTTCAAAACCCTTATGACATTTTTTTTCTATTTCTGTTCATTTATACTCCTCAACTGTATATCTTTTGGTGCTATAAAGCATTTTTTAACAACTCATTCTTCTTGGAAAACTACTTGTGAAAATTATTTCAGGCCTGAGACAAGGTAGATTCCTCCAGAAGAATTTATTCTTCCAGATACCTAATGGTACTATCAGTCTAGGAAAACTTTTTTTTTTGGGGGTCCAGTCGTGGGGCCTGAACTCGGGGCCGGGGCGCTGTCCCTCAGCTCTTCAGCTCAAGGCTAGCACTTTACCACTTGAGCCACAGCACCACTTCCGGCTTTTTTCTTTTTGCTTATGTGGTGCTGAGGAATCGAACCCAGGGCCTCATGCATGCAAGGCAAGCGCTCTACCACTGAGCCACCCTCCCAGCCCTAAAACTGCTCTAATTTAAAAGGAAGGATTATATGACTTCAGGATATAAAGTAAGAGCAATCAAGATGGTATATTTATTTTCCAGAGATATGATTGTCTATGTAAAAAGTCATCATAAAGGCAAGCCCTTCCAACTGCGCAAGAATCCATGAAATTAAAACTAGCCCAAACCAGACATTAGTGGCTCACACCTGTGATACTAGCTATACAGGCTGAGATCTGAGGATTACCATTCAAAGACAGCCCAGACAGGCAAGTCTGTGAGATTCTTATCTCCAACTAACTACCAAAAAGCCAGTGGCTCAAGATGTGCTCTAGCCTTGAACACAAAAACTCAAGGACAGCTCCTAGTTCCTGAGTTCAAGCACCAGAACTAACAACAAAAAAAAAAGAGTCAGGAGCTCCACAAGTTTGCATTTTATAAGCAATATAGCAACTGAGGTCTGTTAGTATTATCCCCACCTCTGGTCCTCAGCTCCACCCAGTCCTGAGCTCCTCCCTGCTCCAGTTCCCTCCATACAGTTGGCCACTCCCTCTCTCCACCCAGACCCACCTGCTCACATATCTACCTCACTACCTGTCCCCAGACTCACTTGCCACTTTGGGTAGGGACAGACACCACGTGCTCCCTCTCCTGGGAAATATGGCCCCTCTAATAAACCTTATACTAATCTTTCTCTTGTGCCTGTTTGCCTCTGCATGGTCCCCTGGGATGATCGTGAAGGATTACAGATGATGTGCAAAACCCAGCATAGATTCCCCGGTGGTTTTGCCTTCCCTTTCCCTCCCCCCTCCCAGTTGTAAAGTTCATT